CTGAAATACGACTTTCTGCATTTATTGCATAGATTTTCACCTCGTAGGATAGTTTGGTTCCGAACAAACAAACATAAATAGAATAGTGTGATTTATATCGCTTATTTGTTAATGTATCATTCAGTGCATTTTAATTCAATACGATATAAAATAGATGAAATACGTTTTCGTGCCTTACCCAGATAGCGTAATTTATAGGTGATATTTGTAATGCCATTTTACATTTGATTTAGTAATAAGTTTTCTGTGCCGTATTGCTCGGGCAAACCTGTGCATTCGTTTTTATTTTTCACGTTCTGAATTTGTTTTTGAGGAGATCGTCTAAGAATAAGTACTTTGACCTTCAAGGTGTTTATTGTTATTAATTGTTATTAATTGTCATAATTTTATTTCAGTTTCATGTTCTTTGTTTCCATTTTCTCCTTGCCAAAAAAAGTTTGGTAAACACTTTAGTTCGAAATGTGATTTTATTTTACAATATGCGAATAATGTGCAACATGAATTAAGTATACATTAGCGAAAATTGTTAAGAATAATTTTGGCTTACCTTTCAAATATTTTTTCAAAAAAAAATTTCGGAGACATAGACTCTGCTTGAAAATTTATTTGATCATTAGCATAAATATCTACACGAAGTCGTTTGGTAAATACATATAAAAATATAACAGTCTCATGTCTTTGACCTTTAACGTTATTTCCATACAATCAAAAATGTCAATAGGAGAAAATTAAACAATTTACTATCGGACGTGATAAATCAACAGCATTTATTTCAGACTTATCGATATTTATTTATTCACGTGTACACAATCAGGATTAGATGTTCCTAAATAGCGTTAATTAACTAAATTTAATAGCTTCTATCGCCGTAAAAAATCTTTCAATCTTCTCTCCATCTTGTTTCAACAAGTGTTAAACGGAAATAAATTTATCACTATCTCGGGCTATAAACCACTCACCCCGTTTCCTTGCAAACGACGCTGCCGAAGAGTTTTAAAAATAATTAAGACGTTAAATTAACAAAATCCTGGACAAGAAGAATTGGTCTTATCGTGGTTGACGTAGAATTCGATATTCTCTACCTGGTGGGTGGTAATTTTTTGCTAGTTAGTTGGAGGGACTGGTTAAATAAGAAACCCTTCACTACATTATTTTTTAGTTAGAGATCGCAAAACGCTTGTTTAAAACCATTAGATGACGTCTATCTTTTTTAAGTAATAGAAGTCGGGAAGCGAGAACAAGAGATTAATAATAATAATAATAATAATAATAATAATAATAATAATAATTATTATTATTATTATTATTATTATTATTATTATTATTATTATAACTATAATATTTATTGACTACTTTACAAATACATGTATACATGTACATATGTACATTATAGTAGGTCAAATACCTATATAACACAAATCAGTCCGATATGAAAATTATATAATCACATGTTAAAGAACTACACTAACAGTATCCGGATCCAATACAGATATACACTTATATATAATTCTTTTTATACTGTGTGTGTAAAATATCTATATATAAATCTAAATATATAAAAATCTATAGAATAAAAGCGATATTTTAATAAATGTGTTTTTATTATATTTTTCTACCTAGCAAAATTTAATTTTCGGACTTTTAAAGGAACATAATTAAGGAGTTTCAGGTTAAGACAGTTTTTGTCAGATACAGCTAGACGACAACATGGAATTCTTACTAAGTTACCTGATCTTGTATATCACAATGTACAGCTAACAAATTTCTCCTATTACGAATCTCCCGAAAACTGTGGCAAATAAAGAAAGTTCGACTCTGGATATGGCTCTTTTTTGAAGGAAAAAGATAAAAATGGCATCACTGGAACTCCCTCAAAATACTAGCTCGTACGAGATGTGGCTACCCACATGTTCACATCACATCAATTGTAATACCCAACAACATCCATTACTTGGCAATTGGAAACTTAGAAGTAGTAAAAATAAAAATACTTTTGTTTTCGCTAGATTAATCTTGATATTATTGACAGTAAACCAACCCTGGGCAACGTCCAAAATATTTTCAGCGATAGTCGGTAAATTAGGAAAATTTTTACTATATCCTATAAATGAGGTATCGTCTGCAAATAATACGCTGTTGGTTGGCATCATAAAATTGAAAAGGTCATTAATGTAGATCATAATTAATGTTGGTCCTAAGATTGATCCTTGAGGCACACCATATTTGATTGGGACACTTTGAGAAACAGAGTTATTATATAGCACGCACTGATATCTATTGGAGAGCTTCAGGGGAGTTCCTCTAAAACCATAGATCGAAAGTTTCTTGAGGAGTAAATCATGGGAAATTCAATCAAAGAACAGTGTGCGACCCATTCTACAATCCCCCAACAGTACTTTCCCCAATCTTTAAAACTGCCGGAATCTCTCCTTTAGCAGAGACTCCGTTACCTTAGAGAAGGTCAACGGGTTTCTTCTAAGGAACTTGTTGGAACTTCTTTTGTTTATTGCATTTAATAGCGTTTATGCTGTTCCTGCTTCTGATCGTCATAATTTGAACGATTGAACTATGAATCAAACAGCTTGTTTTTTTTTGAAGGAGTTAAATAAAGGCGTTTTAGTGAGATTGAACCTGAATCTAAGCAATTGAGACCTAATTTTGATAAGAGAATTCTGATAACCATTTGCACGTTAATGAAAGAGTCACTTTGTACAAATAAATCTAATAAAAGTTGGTTTGGTGCCTCGGTGAGTTCGACCGTGATGATAGTCAATTCTTTTTACTTGTTTCCTACGACCCCTAAAGAAGTTTTTTCAACAATAATAAACTTAAATAATTCATCAGCGCTTGATGCATTTGACTTGAATAGCAAGGAGACCGCGGATATTTGGGTGGAACCTTTGACTAGTTTGATAAATTGTTGTTTTACTGAAGGAAGTTTTTGAAATCCTGTTAAAAGAGAGGTTATATAAATTTGTTGAAGTAAATCAATTACTTGACTATGCCCAGTTTGGTTTCAGAAGCAAGTTCTCCACAACTAGAGCTTTGATGAGGGTGTTGGAGGACATAGTCGGGAGCCTGGAAAGGGGAGAACACTTAATGATTTCACAGTGCGACCTCTCAAAGGCTTTCGACTGTGTTTCTCATCAGATTCTCTTGAGCAAGCTTGAATTTTATGGAGTGCGTGGTGTTCCACTCGAACTTTTTAAGTCCTATTTAACAGATAGACATCAGTTTGTGAGCGTAAAGAACAATAAGTCTGATTTGGCTTGCGTTGAGTTTGGAGTTTGGGGCTCCGTTCTGGGATCCCTTACATTATATACATAAATAATATTTGCCAGTACATGATGCCTGATACTGAGATTGTGCTGTTTGCTGATGACACAACGTTTATTAATTCAAACAGGAACATCACTACCCTGAGTAATATTGAAACATATGCTTTATCTAAGGCCAAAGCATGGTTTTCAGCAAATAATCTACAACTTAATGAATCTAAAACGAAGAATTTGTTAGTGTCTAGTAGCAGTAGGTTGATATGTGGCAGGGAATGCAAGATTCTGGGCGTTACCTTGGATGACACTCTGAATTGGTCAGAACACATTGGCGATCTAAGTAAAAATCTTTCAAATATTCATTTTCTTTTGCGTCAACTTCGCAGAATGCTGAGTTTTGATGTATTGAAGTCAACTTACTTTGGTTTATTTCACTCGCGTATAAACTATGCCACCATACTGTGGGGTAATTCCTCTTATGCCATTAAAATATTTAGAAAGCAAAAAAAGGCGCTACGGATAATTACAAATTCAATTTTTAACGAACACTGTAAGCCATTGTTTATAAAACATAAAATAATGACGGTTCTATGTATATTTATATTTGAAAGTGTTGTTGAGATACACTCCAAGACCGATAGTTTGCCGAGGGGTTCTGATTCTCATAGGTATGACACGCGGAGTGCCAATAATCTCGTGCTTCCGAGATACAGGTTGCAGAAATCAAAACAAAACTCTCCTTATATAAAGCTTTATAACGCATTACCAAAATCTTTTAAACTTTTAAACGGAAAACATTTTAAACATAAAATTAAAAGTTTTCTTCTAAGTAAGGGCTATTATAGCTTTGGTGAATTTTTTGAAGAAAACATCGGTAATGACTTGTTGCGGGGCGTTGTGCATTGATTGTATTTTAATGATGATTCTGTGTTATATATATATAAATTTATTTTTTTATTTGTTGTCCTGTTATTGTGAAGTTATATAAATTATATATCTAGATTTAGTATATTATGATGTTATATACAATTTTATATTTGCATATACTTACATATATTCAATTTAATTCTTTTTCCTTTGTATGACTTGCTACAAACAATGATATTGTAAAGTAGTCAATAAACCATCTATCTATCTATCTATCATTATAGCATTTTTCTATCATATGTATAATACATCACTATCTTTTATTTGCATTTTGAAACTTGTATGCCCAATTCAAAATGGAAATAAATTGTTTTTGAATTTCAATTGAAATATTCGCTCCTTAACATAATTAGGGAAGATCATAAACTATTTAAGCAAAAGATCTGAATTTGAAAATCCAACGGCTAACCAAACGTCTGCTAAAGTGCTGCTAGGAAAAGCATTATTTGTTTCTGAATATGAGATGGAATAGCAATAGATTTTAATTCACTTCGTTACTTTAATAAATCAGTTTAAGAAGTACTTAGGTCCCGCAATAAAAAATTTTATAAAATATTCTGCAATATTATTAAATCGCATGATTAAACTCTATTAATTACAAAAATCTTAAGTACGGACCTGTGGTCTAAGTATTGTTCAGAATAGGATGTCTATTTTTACGTTGCGTCAACATTGCGTTGTCATATTTTCAGTAGCCTCTACAGCGCCTGCTCTGATCAATAATTACCCCGTGCAAGCTGGCGGAAAATATATTTTCATCAGGAAAATTGCCGCTCAACCCTAGCAATATTTCAGGTAAACCAAGTACGCTTTTCAGTCCGCTTTTCAGGCGATTTTCCCGCATTTGGCGCCTGATGTATCGGGATAGCAGAAGGCTGAAGCGATATGCGCATTCCGGCGCCGCGACGCTACCGACGCTCTTGGCGAATTGAAATGATCCCGATTGTGATAATTTTAGAATGGGCGGGAAGTTCGTCAGCACAGCTCCACGATATGTTCCTATCTGCTTCGACCTTTTGTTTGCGTGCGGGTATCCGGTTCAATTAATCAAACATTATTTTCCAAGTGAGAAATGTAGCTCAGAAAATAATAATTATATAATTACATCGTTTTAAATGGTGTGATGGTGTCCCGTTCAGTATGTTAAAGTGATATCAGGGAAATCGGATAAGCTTTGTATATTCACTTTTCATATATCTAGATGCCCGACAGCCACATATGATTGGAGGTATTCCTAACACCTTATGTTAACAAAAACAATTTTTAGAAAGCTTTCTTTATTAACAATTGGTCGTCTTCCGAATCATTAGTTTTATTGCTTATCTCTGGAGAATATTAAATATAGAATATTGATCCATTAATGATTTTTTTTATTTACAAATAAATTGAAATTATTGTATGTCTCTTGCTTATTATTATAAATTGGATAATGATATGTTCTCGTGGTTTGATTATTTTATTCATTGTCCCTAAAATTATTTATTCATTATTATCAAACAATATTTTCTTTAAATATTTCAGAACTTAAAAAAACACATAGAAAATGACATACTTAGAAGTTTCAGTCCTTCTTTGTTTTAAAAAAGGTATTGGAAAATGTATTGGTCAGAAAGTATCATTTCCGAATTGACTAAAATACACTTAATACTTAATAAATTACTTAAAAAAATACACTTTCCCAAGAAACCAAAATAGGTAGGAAAATTGAAAAACAATAAAAACAATCTCTGATTAGTGTCTGTGATTAGTATTCACGTTCACGACCAACAAGAAAGTCATTACTAACCTATCTTACACAAAATGAAAATTTCCGGACAATACGAACATGAGAGATCTCATAATTATAATATTTCGTTTAAGTTTGAGGTGGTATATTTTTGGGTTACTAATGTTCTAATCTCATATAAGTGCGCAATTAAAAAAAGTCGCTATGAACAAGTGTGCAATACTTCACAACTGATCAATTATAGTCTATGAGCCGGGACCTGTTTTTTGGAATTATTTATAACAAGCTGAATTTTTCTGTGCAGCTTTGTTTCCACAAGACGTCCAACTTTTTCCACTGCGAAAAAATTCGATCGTAATAGCTAAGATATTGGGCAGGTGTGGAACACGTTGATTTGGTGATAATCAAAAATGTATTACTAACAGTAAATGTACTAGTTTCATCTTGAAATCATTTTATAACAAATATTAAACAACACTTGTCCTACAAAAAAAATGATATGATCATTGCTGTCTCCCAACCCAATTATGTGCCATTTACTGGGGCATACGAATTTATCACTAACCAGCTAATTTTTATACCTAATAATCGTAAAATTAGGTGACCATATTGTCCTACAAATTATATAATAGGTTTTCATTGTTCTACAGTTAGAAATTTTGAAATACAAAGTGTGATGCGCGCAGCAGTTTTTCATGGTATGGACCGTAAGCCCCGATTTTGATATTCATACGAAGCTGTTGAAAAATTTTTACTAAGAAATAATGTTTGTTATTTATTTTCATTATAATTATGGAGTGTTTATTGTGCAATTCTCTTTGTGAAGCATTTAATTTTCGCCAAAAAAAAGGAGAGATAAAAAAAATTAAAAGAAATTTTTTTATCGAGTAAAACTTTTCTTATGGCTCGAAAGCATCATAAATATAAATTGTGATATTGCCTCAAAGTTGGAATGACGATATAAGGAAGGAATATTTGGAAGGTAAGTAAATAAATTAATATTAAAATTTAATCATAAAAAAATATTATATTATAATTTGTTGGATATATGTGAATATTAGTGAATATCAGTGAATAGTAAATCTTAAAACTTGCTTTTAATTAATTGGACACACGTGATTCCTGCGTGTGTTTTATTTATTTGACTTGGTAAAATTTATGTTAAAATAAATGACTTAAAACGCATGACTTTTACTACCAACATTTTATTTAATTAATATAATTAAATACATTCAAATTTTTAAAATTAGGTCACATAACCATTAAACGAAAGAAAGTTATTTTAAATTCTTAACAAAAATATACTGTTTAATTGCTCTTTATAAAAAATAGCAATTGCAGTTTTCACGATTGAACATGGCAAAGAATCTCAATGAAATAAATTTTACTTATGTGTCTTGCATAAAACCAGATATTTACTTGGTAGTTAAACTAGATACTAATTGACTCTTTTACATATAAACAATTTTTTGTTTATTATTTCCCAACTTATTTTATCTACCCCTTTACTCTTCAAAACGCCCACCCATCCACTCGTATATTCGTTTATCGATTCACCTATCGGAATAGCCAAACAAAAATTGAGCGAAAAAAATTTTTTTAGTTCAACTTAATCCACCTATTTTTATTAACATAATTGTTTTGTTTTCAAAAATTTCAATAAAAATTTATTTATGCATGTACATATATATATATATATATATATATATATATATATATATATATATATATATATATATATATATATATATATATATATATATATATATATATATATATATATATATGAGAAGACCTATTATGTAACTTCTAGGACAATATGTACACTTAATTGTACGATTATTAATTAAACTTAGGTAAAAAATTAGCTGAATAGTGGTAAATTCGTGTGCAGTGTGTAGGCTCCAGTAAATGGTATGTGATTGGGTTGCTGGGCAAAAATGGTAATATCATTTTTTTTTTGTAGGACAATTGTTGTTTAATATTTGTTATAACATTATTTCACGATTAAACTAAGAAATTTACTGTTAGTAATACATTTTTGATAATCACCAAATCAACCTGTTTCACACCTGCCCAATTTCCTAGCTATTACGATCGAACTTTTTCGCAGAGGAAAAAGTCGGGAGTCTTGTAGAAACGAAGCCTCACAGAAAAATCCAGCTTGTTATAGATAATTTAAAAGGACAGGCCCCGGCACATAGACTGTTAATTAAATACAGCAAACTAACAGGATGCTATTAAAAATATATAAATAAAATATTCCAGGAACCCCATAAAACTTGGTAGCGCTAAAAGAAGCGCATGCCGATTTGGCGCCCATAAAAAAATATCTTTATTTTAATGAAATTCAGTTCGCGAATATCCAATACCATAAAATTTCGGTAAAACGCGCGAAAGAAAGCCTGCCAAGTAATTAACACGGATCGGGTCGGCTTTAATTGTAAATAACTAGAGCCAATTTAAAAAAAAACACCCGTTAATTTGTAAAAATGGAAAAACACGATGGGCCACGAACTGAACATTCGCGTCGTCCTCGGCTAATGAGAATCCTAATTAAATCTTTTAATGCATACGAATTTCCACTGGTTTAATGTGAACCTGTGATCAGATACTCATTTTCTGTGACTCTTAATTTCGTAATCGTTTGAACGCCGAAACGTAATCCGATGAAATTAAGTCTCATTAAAAGAGTGTCAGTGCCGCGGGTTTAATTTTACAGAGTCGTTTAAAGCCGAACTTCTTTTTAAACTTTCCACTGCGGTGATGCTGCGAATGACTCCAAGTCGAAGTCTTTGTCACGACAATTTAAATGATTTAGGCAGTGGAGTCAACATGAAAAATAGTTCACTTAGATTGAAGAAAATTAGTAGCAGCTCTTTTGAGTCTGACTGGTAATCTGATGATTATAACTGATACGCGTTTGCCGAAAAGCTACATCACGTCTAAAATGATAGTGTAAAAAAAAGCTAATTTTTTATAACTTTATTTTGTTGGTGTCATACATAACGATACATATAATTTAGTGTGAAGTGTCCATATTTTCAGATTATTTGTTATAATTGGGGATGTATTTATCAAATGTGATAATTTGATAAGGACACGGTGTTGTCGAAACAATTGTCATGTAAAAATATATAATTTCGTGAAAATCTGAACTTTTAGTTCTTATTTATTTTGACCTATTTATCACTTGAACAATTATCTAAATGTGAGTTATTAGCTTTGTTCGGTTTTTTGATTTCAAACATTTCATATTTGAGAACAAAGACTCGCAATTGTATGTTGTTGCACAATATGAATAAATTTTTAGTAAAAATAGGATAGTTTTTTTCACCAACTAAGTTCCAAAACATTTTACAAGTTTATTATTTCTAATTCTAGGTCTTCGAGATTAGGACACTCGTAATACACTGAGACATGTAACATTGAATGGATTTATGAAAAATCTTGGAACGGATTCTAATCCTGAAAAATCTTCAAATTTAGAAGAAAACTATCTTCTATCTTCTATCTTCTATCTTCTATCTTCTATTAGCTTATCTATAATTGGGAAATGTGATAATTATTTTTTCAATAGATGGGATTTCAACAACACTAACATGCATTTGAATTTACTGCACTAATCATGTCAGCGATATGCTGATTTTTCCCTTTTGTTTTTAAATTTAATTCAACTTTACCGTTATATCTGTCAGAAATCTGAGGTCGATTAGCCAATCCTTACTTATATAAATTCCTTTATTTGTGGCAAAAGCATGATAAACCGCTCAAGTATTTTTTCTCTGCTCAGTCACCTCATTTCAGTATGTAAAAGAAGGTCTGTGAACTGTAAGTCCTCATCTTCTAAAAGTAATTTAAACAATCTGTGTTGCATAGCTGCCACTATCGCAAATACGTGTTGAAAACCGATTGTTTTTGCGCATAACATTTCGTGATGTATGAGGCAATGATAAGAAATAAATTTCGGAAATAAGGAATCCTGTCTACATATGGCAATAAATCCTTTTTTCTTACCAGTCATCGCTGGTGCCCCGCCTGTTGTAATTGACGATAACTTTTGTAAAGGTAACTTTACATTTGTTATATCCTTTTTAAAAGCAGAAGAGATATCTTGTCCTCTGGTGCTTCATTTTAATGGCAGAATTCTTCCTTTGTTGTAAAATCTGTAGTCAAAAGAAAATTCAATTCTTCTAGTAACAGTTAATTGAAACGTGTTTATGGCTGAAACTAATTCGTTTCATTTTGGCTTCTTTCATGAATTCTCCATCTGTAACTGTTTTTTATTCTTAGCTAGCAAATGCGATATTTTATATGACGCGATCGTTGCTGCTTTATGTTGTTGCAGTAGTTTAGTAAAAAAACTTTGCTGTTTAGTTATTGAATATTTTTAAGAAATTTGTTTTTTTCTTCTAATTTCAGAGTTCATTGGATAGTGACTACCAAGATTGATATGAACGGTCTTAAAATGTCGTTTCTTATGAATCGCAACACTATTATTA